TGGCGACGCGGCCGGCCCGCGCTTCGCCGACAAGGCGGTGCCCCCGCGCCTGGGCGACGAGCGGGAGCGCCGCGCGCGCGAGCAGCTGACGGGCCTCTTTGTGCACGATCCCGGCGCGCCGCCCACGACGCGCGCGCCCGTGGACGAGCTGCAGGCCCTGCTCGCCGAGCTGGGCGGCGACGCCGCGCGACGCGCGCGCTCGCCGCTGAACCTCGTGATCGACGACCACGGGCACACGGCGCTGCACTGGGCGGCCGCGCTGTGCCGCCTGCCGCTCGTGCGCATGCTGACGGCGCTGCCTGCGGCGCAGGGCGGTGCGAACATCAATGTGGGCAACTATGCGGGCGAGACGGCGCTGCACCGCTCGGTGCTCGTGACGAATGCGTACGAGCTCTCGCAGTTCCCCGAGCTGCTCGAGCTGCTCGCGAGCAGCCTCGAGACGCGCGATCACCGCAAGCGCACGGTGCTGCACCACATTGCGCTCGTGGCCGGCCTCAAGGGGCGCGCGGCGCCCGCGCGGTACTACCTGCGGTGCGTGCTGGAGCGGCTCGGGCGGCGCGCCGGCGCGCCTGGCCTGCTCGACGCGCAGGACGACGAGGGCGAGACGGCGCTGAGCATCGCGGCGCGCCTCGGCAACACCCACATGATCCAGATGCTCCTGGAGGCGGGCGCGCGCAAGGACCTGCCCAACTACCTCGGCATCACGCCGCTCGACTGGGGCATCACGGGCGCCTCGCCAGCGGCCGGCGAGCCGGGCGTGCTCAGCGAGCTGGGCTCGTACCGCCCCGCGGACATGGTGCGCTCCCTGACCAAGCCGCCGCCGGGCCCCGTGAAAAAGAGCCACGACGTGCGCGAGAAGCTCGTGCAGACGCTCGACGAGCTGCAGGCCATCTTCGACCGCGAGGTCGCGGCCAAGCAGAGCGCCCTCGAGACCACACAGACACACCTCCAGGCCGCCACGCGCGAGCTCGCAGCGCGCCGCCGCGACGTGGCTGCCGCACAGGCAGCCGTCACGGAGCGCGAGGAGCAGCGGCAGCGGCGCGAGAACCTGACGCAGGCGCTCGCAGCGCTCCCGCCGCCCACGGACGCGCCCGCGTGGACGCAGGCGCCGCTCGACGAGGCGCAGGCGGCCCTCGCGCCCCACGCCGACGACGCGTCACAGGCCGCCGCCGTCGTGCGCCTGCGCTGGCTGCTCCGCCGCTGCGACGACGAGGGCCGCGCCCTCGAGGCCGACATGCAGGTGCGGCGCACCGGCGCACAGGCGCGGCAGCACCTGTACCACCAGGTCGTCGCCATGTGTGCGCAGGTGCCGCTCGACAAGGTGGACGGCATGCTCGACGAGCTGCTCGCGGCCGTCGAGTCAATTGGCCCCGACGTCGACATGCACTCGGTCG